GTCGATAGTTGTGAGTTACAAGAATGAGAGATCTAGAGTGTATCTTCAGTGCTTAGTAAATTTATAGTTAGTTGTGAGTACGTGGAATGAAGAGATCTAGTGTGTGTCTTCATTGCTTTGTAAATCTATTAAGTTGCACTTTTAAGGCACACTTATGCTTATACGTGTTGGCAGCCCAGCCTGTTCTGCTGCTTTTACACATGAAAGAACTGTTGGTGAACCTTATTATTTCTACAAAAGATGGCAAGGTGTTTGTGGACGGCACTTCAAGATGATTGTGATATGCCTAGGTGCTAAATCTGGCGATGAGGTATGCTACAAAACTCTTAAAAAATGTTATTTAAATAGTAATTCTTCTCGATATTATATAATAAAAATTTACGGCACTTCTTCTCCCATGAGGCAGCTGACCCAAAATAAGGGGAGTGAGTGGAGCAAGTGGATAAAAATCACTTGCCTCTACGCACTCCTACCTAACACGTATTCATGCCTGCTGGTGATCCAAGCCACCACATACAAGGAGCTCCTTTACCTTCCTCCAACCTTTCCTTGGGTGTCCATACCCAGCCTGCACTCCACTTACAGATTTATACTCCCTCCAAAAATCGCAGCGGTGTCTCCAATCATCCCACCTTATATGAGTTTCTTTAATTTTAAATGTGCACACCTCTCCCCAACATCCTGTTACTCACTTCTCTTATACCCCATACATAAACATGGTTTAAACTCCTTCGGACGATCATTGCATCCGTGTCTTAAGGCTACTTTCACAGGAAAATATTCTCCCCTTTCTTCTAATTCACTAACCTTAACATATACTCCTAACTGCTTTTCCGTAACCTAACATTTATTACATTACACTTGCCAGCATCTTTCCTACATTGCTTTCCTATCCTACTATAATTTTTTTTTTTAACAAAACCGCGCATCCCACTGAGGCAGGGGTGGCCCAAAGAGTAAAAACAAAAGTTTTGCTTTTTAAATTTAGTTATTTATTAGAGAAGGGTTTACTACCCCCTTGTCCCCCAGGATTTTAGTCTCCTCTCTACCAACCACGCATCGCGCTTACGGAGGAAGAATTCTATTCTGCTGCCCATGGAAATAAGGAGGAATAAACAAGATCAGAAACTGAAAGCAAAATTAGCTAGAAAAACCCAAAGGGGTGATGTATATATGTTATCTGCTTGTACATGTATGTGTAGTGTCGACCTAAGTGTACGTAGAAGTAGCAAGACTTAACCTGAAATCTTGCATGTTTATTGAGACAGAAAAAAAGACACAGCAGTCCTACCATCTGTAAAACAATTACAGGTTTCCGTTTTAACACTCACTCTAGCAGGAAAGGTAGTACCCCCTGGCAGCGCGTTGCTGTCTACCTCTACTACCTAGAAGCGCCATCATATTCCTTTCCTAAATTGATAAATGCAGGTGTAAAACTTTATTTCTTTTGTCTAAATATTGTTTACTTGTAGTGCTCTTAAGATATTTACACTTAGTCTACACATTCCACTACTCTTCTGAAGCCTCACCTGTTCATCTGCATAATACTTGCCTGTCTTAACCTCTTGATTTAACCTTTCACTGGTAAAGGACCTTTCCTCCCTCAAAAAAAAAAAAATCATGACCTACACTCCAAAATAACCCTTCATTTCCAGACCCTGAAATTATAACCATTCACTGTTCAAGGCCCATGAAAATTTACCGTTCACTGTACGGCCCCAAAATAAACATTGTCCTCAGTGTACACTTTAAAAAAAAAAATTTAATTTGGAATTGTAGGAAATCCTTTTTGAACGGTAATGACACCAAAGAAGTACTAACTTGATGAAAAACTTATGAAATTATGTAGGACAAAGTCAGTGGTATGTGTGGGTCATTTAAGCATTGGTGTTTTTGCAACTTTGGTCCTATTTTTAGCGCTAATTTCCATTGCTTCAGTTTGACCAAATTCTTACACATTTGGCTAGTACTGCTTCTGAACCTGTTAAGTTGAACACTAAGAAACTGCCTTACAGTTTAAAATTTAAAATATTAAATGTTGTAGACATTCCTATCACTAATAACAATAATTTTCCGTCTCATTATCATGTCCCAAGGCCTCTCCTATGATTTACCATCTTGCCCAACTATTGTTGAATTCTTAACCCTTTGAGGGTCGACAGGCCCTTCTCGAAACTCGCTTCTCAGGTTTCGGCCAAATTTCAAAAAAAAAAAAAATTATTTTTCTTTATGAAAAAATAGAGTTCTTTTTTTCTTAACATTATAGGATAAACAAAAAAAATTTTCCATCAATACTTATCTGAGATATGGATGCATGAAGTTTTGCAGAAAATGAGCCGGTCTTTGGTCAATCAGCTCGGTGGACTGCCGCTCACCGGTGTAAACTTTAAGTTTACTTGTATTTGAAGGTTTGGTGTTTTTGTACTATTTTATTTTTTAACATAACTTTATTGTGGCCTATGAGACCAAAAGTAAGGTGCGCAATGTACATTTATACACTCGTTGTATTTACAACACAATAAGCACACAAACATAATTATCATAATATTTTGTTTACAAAAACTTGTTTACAAAAAACAATTTGGGTGTCTTGCGCGGATTAATTTGATTTCCATTATTTCTTATGGGGAAAATTAACTTGACTAACGATTATTTTGACTAACGATGAGCTCTCAGGAACGGATTAATAGCGTTAGTCGAGGGTCCACTGTATACTCAGTATATTATCCAAAATTCTAGAGAGGGCGGTGTACTCTCAAGTAGTTAAGTACCTTAATGACAACAACATTCTCCATAGCTATCAATCAGGCTTTAGAAGATCTTACTCAACCGACACCTCCCAAATTAATCTGATGGATTACATGAGAACTGACATGTCAAAGGGGAACCTCATAGGTATGGTAACCTTAGACCTGCAGAAGGCCTTCGATACTGTCAACCACAATATATTATGTAAGAAACTTCAAGCTATCGGTATAGGTTCTGTAGACTCGTTTAAGTCCTACCTTAGCAACAGGAGACAAATTGTCAAAATCAATATACGGAATCAGAACCCCTGCCGATAGCATGTGGAGTTCCCCAAGGTAGTATTCTGGGTCCCTTATTATTCTTATGTCATGTCAGTGACATGCCTATCAGTGTCAAGTGCAAACTCCTACTATATGCAGATGACAGTGCCCTGTTAGTGTCAGGTAAAGACCCACAAGATATAGCTAATGTTTTAACACTAGAAATGGAGTCCTGCAGCAAATGGTTAGTAGACAACAAACTATCATTACACCTCAGGAAAACTGAAGCCATTCTCTTTGGCACGAAACATAAACTGAGAAGGGTAAATAATTTTAATGTCCATTGTAATGGGGAGCCCATCACTTTGGTTTCATCAGTAAAATATCTGGGAATCCCCTTTGACCCATGCATGTCAGGAGAATTGATAGGGAACAGTGTAGTAAAGAAAGTGAATGCCAGACTGAAGTTCCTGTATAGACAAGCACAGTGTCTATCTACTGAGGCTCGCAGGACCCTATATCTAGCCCTTATACAATGCCATATGGATTACGCTTGCTCTTCGTGGTACTCTGCCTTGACAAAAAACTGAAAGATATACTGCAAATCACCCAGAACAAAATCGTTAGATTCATCCTGGGGCTGGGACCAAGAGAACGTGTAGGCCAGGATGAATTACAGCAGTTGGATATGCTGAATGTTGAAGACAGAGTAAAACAACTGAAGCTAAATCATGTTTATAAAATTGCTCACAGTGTCCAGAATATCTTGCTGCCAATTTTGTCAAGGTTGGGAACCAAAGCAATCATAGTACTAGGGGGAGAGAGCACAACTTTGTAGTATCCACAGTCATTGGCCAGGCTTCAAACACCTTTTATTGTACAGCAATAAAGGAATGGAACAGACTACCTTGCACATGTCAAAGCCAGTCATAGCATGAACCAGTTCAAGAAGAGTGCCAAAAGGTGTCTGATGAATGTAGCTACAGAAAGGGAGGGGAATGATTTTCTATTTTTTAGCTAACATACGTGTAAATTTGACCTTATTCCTAGTAAGGCAGGTGAAATTGCAGAGCTAGAGAGTGTACAGAGAACCTTTACTGCACGTATAAGTTCCATCAAACACCTTAACTACTGGGAGCGCCTGGAAGCACTTGACTTGTACTCACTAGAGCGCAGGCGAGAGAGATATATCATAATCTACACCTGGAAGATTCTGGAGGGACTGGTCCCTAATATGCACACAGCAATCACTCCATACGAAAGCAAAAGACTTGGCAGGCGATGCAACATACCCCCAGTGAAAAGTAGGGGCGTCACTGGTACACTAAGAGAAAACGCAATAAGTGTCCGATGCCCAAGACTGTTCAACAGCCTCCCACCAGCAATAAGGGGCATTACGGGAAGACCCTGGTTGTCTTCAAGAGGGAGCTGGACAGACACCTAAAGACGGTGCCAGATCAGCCGGGCTGTAGTTCGTACGTTGGACTGCGTGCGGCCAGCAATAACAGCCTCGTTGGTCAGGCCCTTATCAACTGGGAGGCATGGTCGTGGACCGGGCCGCGGGGGCGTTGATCCCCGTAATGCCCTCCAGGTAGACTCCAGGTATATACAGAGCATTTCGGGCAAACTTAAAATTAACTTAAGATTAATAAGGCAATAACAGTACATATGGTCATTAGATGAGCTACAAAGAATACAAGAGAATTGAGTATTCTATTAGGTCATGCTATATGGCCTTAATAAGTCTTGTAGAGATCGTTCAAGGATGGAACAATCGCCTCTGCATATAGGCTCTCGACAGAAGAGTGAAAAGCACCTAGACATAAACATAATCCTTGATGATGGATAGGATCAAGTTTAGAGAGTTGCGGGAGAGACTGCAGAATATATCTGGTACACATGAGGTGGACCACATCTAAATAAAAAATGTATTTTTTTTTTTAAATTTATTCACAGCACAACCACAGTAAAGAGGACAAAAAAAGAGGCATACTACATTAATCATTATTATTATTCATGTTAATGTTGAAAATTAATGAAAGAAAAAGAAACTACTAAAACAAGGATTATTAAATATACTTAATAATTAAAAAAAATCTTCGATTGCAACTGTAAATCTTAACACTATATAATGTATAAGCTTTTATTATTTATGAAACGATATATATAAATATATATATATAAAATTTTGCAGCTGTGTGCAAAACCAATCATGTTCGCATCTTGAAATGTTACTAAAAGCCCAATAAAAAATTTCGAAAAATCTTCATGCTGGAATAACAGCTAGTAATTAATATAAAGATGTTACTAGGATAAAAAACAAATATGTTACAAAGTAGATACAATATTTACTGCTCTGAATATGAGGAAATTGTAAAAATATATTGAAAAATCTGATAATATACATAAAGTTGTTGTATGGTGCTTGTGGGTTTAGCGCTTAAGTTTTGATTGTAAAAATATATACAAAGTCATACTATTTAGGATAAATGAGAACTCTAGCAGTGAACCATCCACTGGAAGATGAGTTCTTCGTGTACAGTGGCATGTATGTTGGCATCTTTAGAGAACTGGTAAATTACTAATAGTGAAAGTAACTTAATTTTTCTTTTTCTTAAAGCAACAGTGTTACTACGTGTCGGCAGTTTTCAGATGATGGTCATACAAGTTACACGCCAGGTACCACATTTCTGTTAAGAAGCTTTGGTGGTCCTCGTCACTGACTGGTATTAACTTCTTGGTGTTATCCTGCAAGGTGAAATATTTATGAGAGAGCAAAACATTCATTACTTAATAATCTAAACTTTGACAAATTATTGTTAATGACTTGGAAAACCTACATCTTCAAAGAACTTATTCTGAAAGATTTATACTGTAAGTGAGGAAAATACTAAAGATTTGCATACAATTATGATCCATGACACTTAAAATGAAGCAATGGCTTTGTTATTGTTGTAACTAAACTAATTAGTTTACTGAAAAATTTACTCACACTAAAAAGTAGATCATTTTTGAAAAATAATTATAAAAGAGTCTAAAGAAAGACTCTGGTTTTCCAAAGTTTTCTGCAGCCATCAGCAGCAGATGACGCATGTCTTCCTTCCTCACACTACTCTCAGACTGACGTGTCACAATCTGTCAGGATATTACAAAGCAATATGTAGGAGTGTATATCAAAAATGGTTATAATTATAACCATAATTTTTAATGGGCTCTACTGGTAAGCCAGTGGAAGGCCTCGATCAGATGACCAAAAGCTGGTGTTGGGTCATGACATGACTAAGACCTGCATCAGGAAACACTTGTCAAGTTTCCTGACAAACCTTACCTAACTTGTATCAATATAAGTATGAATGAATGTGAGTGTGTTTGTATGTGTAGGGGCATCTGAACTGTGGTATTACAGAACTGCATCCTGCTCTCCCTTGTGGGTTTAGCACTTAGTTTTGTTTATAATAATACAATGGAAATAAGTCACTCTGTCTGACTTTTTTTGGGTTATTCTAGGTTCTCTACACATATGCTGCTATGTATGATAATTCTATGTAACTGTATTTTTGTATACCTGAATAAACTTACTTACTTACTCTGATTTACATTTCTAGGGAATGATTATAATCATTTCTTAATTACTATGTGAAAGCAATAATTTACAGTTAAGACAATTATTATACTTTGCTAAAACATTTTCTTCAATGGAGTGCCTCAATGAAGAACTCTTGATCCACAGAGTTGGAGCTAAATTCTCCTTCCATGGATTAAATCTCGTTACCTCCCATTCTCTAGTGTTGTATGATCCATGCACATTTGGTGCTTTCCTTGAGAATGATATAAATAAATACATTGGAACCTCGGTACTCAAACAGCTCCCTATTCGAGCAGTTCGGTATTCGAACTCTTTGTTTGATAAAAAAAAATCACTCGTTAGTTGACCGTTTGCTCAGCACTCAACCAAACACGACCTGCCAGAACTTCACTGTAAACTATTTCGTGTTTCTTCGCATTTTTTTTTTATATTGTATATACAAGTCACCATGGGGCCTACGATGATTAGTGATAACAGCCAACCAAAGAGAATATTAGTTGGGAAAAATTCGTTCAGTACTTGAACAGATTGGCATTCAACAGCCTTCCGGAACTAATTAAGTTTGAGTATTGAGGTTCCACTGTATATGTGGACAGAGAGACGTACAGTTCATGAGATTCATTAACGAGAAACATTTCGACAAGAGTGGTTTCTTCACTCCTGAAGAAGCCACTCGTGGTGAAACGTTTTCCATAATTCAAGTCCTGAACTGTGCATGAGTCTCATTATCAACAGTTACTCATTATCACTTTACTACTAACATTTAAGATGTTATATGTTTTGGTAACTATACAGGCATTTAGATAACTATGATAACTGACCACGTTAGCTGGTACTCGTCCCAGGTTGCACTCCTTCACATTATAACTGGTCAGAGGGAACACTCCATGTGCACACAAGAGTTGGAAGTTCTCGGCTCTCAGGTACGAAGTTCCTCTATCACTGATAATATCTGGAAAAAGTGTATAGCAGCAATGAAAGGTTGATAAAAACTATGGGTTCTACCCTTCAAGGAGGATTGTCTTGCCTTAATAATAATAATAATAATAATAATATCTTTATTTCTACAAGTACATATATAAGGTAAACAGGCCTAGCTGACATCAATGACATATTACTATACAGAAAGCCACTTGTTATGCAGAGCATTTTGGGCAAATTAGGTCAGTTTTGTCCCAGGATGCGACCCACACCAGTCGACTAACACACTGGTACCTATTTTACTGATGGGAACATAGACAACCAGTGTGAGGAAACACGCCCAATGTTTCTACTCTCGCCGGGAATTGAACCCGGACCCTCGCCGTGTAAAGCGAGAGCTTTAGCCACCAGGCAACAGGGCAAAATCAAATCTAATTACCTATCACACCTTCTGTTTCCTAAGGGCTGTATGACCCTTACATATGGGTCTCGCGTTAAGTACTATTATTACTAATATTAAAAATAATCTTTATATCTACAAGTACATGATACAGCTATTACAGACCTAGCTGATATTATTGGCATACTACATGTGGGTCGCATACTGAGGATGCGACCCACATGGTAGGTAGTAGATTTGCCGGTATAATCGCCCGGCCCAGGCCTTTTCCAAGAGGTGGCCCAGCCTTGGCTCCCTGTCGTGAGAGTGTCTCAGACCAATGTCTGCCATGGGAGGAGGTACAAGTACCTCCTCACCTTCTGTGACCAGCTGTCCCCAGGACTAGCCCCATTCCCCGCCCCACGAGGCTCGGAGGGAGAAGCTAGGCACCTTGGGCTGCCACAAACCCCGCCCACACTGGGCTCGAAAGGTGTAGCAGGTGCATAACAGCAGACGATGTCAGGAGGTGCAAAGGCAGCAAGCACTACAGGATCCTCTTGGAACCACACCCCAGCTTTAGGGATTAAGCCCAAGTGCTGGGGAAGCTCAAGAAAACCTCTTGTTGTGTGTGTTGCTGCTGCTACTTCACCTGTTCGTTACACTCTGTGGTGCAAACCTCACCAGTTGACTAACACCCAGGTACCTGCTTCTTTTATTTTTACACAAATCAATTTTACAGGCTAGGAACTGTTATCTAAAGGCTCAGCCCTATATGAGGTATACTGCCACCATCCCCAGGGGTGGCAATATACCTCACCAGTCGACTAACACCCAGGTACCTACTTACTGCTAGGTGACCTGGAGCTACCTGGAGAGGTTTCGGGGTCAACGGCCTCGTCTGGTGACCAGGCCTCATATGGTTCAGGGCCTGATCAACTAGGCGGTAACCTGTTGTGCCGCGATGAAACCCACCTTACGAACCACAGCCCAGGTCAGGTACTGACTTAAGTGCCATCCATCGCCTTCCTTGAAGACAGCCAGGGGTCTATTTGGAATTCCCTTTATGTATGCTGCGAGGCAGTTAACATCTAGGGGCCCCGACTCTATTGTGTTGGCTCTTATTCGTGCTAGTGCACCCCTGCTTTTCATTGGGGGGATGTATCGCTGCCGAATCTTTTGCTTTTATCGGATGAGTTTTCTTGTTCGTTCCTAGGAGTACAGGTTGAGGAACTTCAAGCGTTCCCCCAGTAACTGAGGTGTTTATCACAGTTTTTTGTGCCATACGGTTCTGTTATACTTTTTCTGTCACAATTTTCACCTGCCTTGAAAGTGCTGTTAGTATGCAGCAATAGTCCCAGCCTAGAAAGAACAAGCGCCTGAAAAATGTCCATCATGGATGTGGCATCCCTAATTTTTGAAGGGTCTCACTATCCATCCCTGTGTCATTTTTCTAGCAGATGGCGAATTGATACAATGTTATGGTCTTGAGGTAGATCCTCTGAACGTAATCACTCCCAGATCTTTTACATTAGTTTTTTCTTGCTCTAATTGTGTATTGGAATTTGTTTTAATATTCGAATAGTTTTAATTTCCTCACATGGATAAATTTTTCATTTTTGGGAAATTGTGTCACGCCCCTTGTGCAGATATCCCAGAACAGCTACAAGCAGTATTAAAAAAGAGAAGTGTTTCTGGTATGCCCAAATAGAAAATCTGTGGACCTAAAAAATCACAAGGGTATTAAAAAGAGGTCAACATCAACAAAGCCTGCTTTCATAGAAAACCTGGAAGCTTTCTGACAACAGATGGGAACATAAAAAGTACGGCTGAATGTGTACTGCCCCTTGATTACTCCATGTAGTCAAAACTGAAGCTGGGAGATGAGGTCCTGGTAGTCAGAAAATGGGGGCTGATAGTGCGTCCTGGGAGACTTAATGGGAAGCTGGAGGTGCTGTCCTGGGAGACAGTAATGGTGAAGCTGGAGGTGCTGGTCCTGGGAGACAGTAATGGTGAACTGGAGATGCTGTCCTGGGAGACAGTAATGGGGAAGCTGGAGATTGCAGTCCTGGGAGAACAGTAATGGTGAAGCTGGATGATTTTGTCCAAGGTATCGGAATATACGCAGGCAGGAATACATATGAATGACCTCAATATGGGAACAGGACCCATAGTAGGAAACAATGTAAGTCAAAGAAAAGGATAAAACCCAATATTTGCAAACTTGAAATACCGCAGGAAATAGCAAACAAGAGGACTCCACTAGCAATAGTGAGGATAATATAACCAAAATCAAAATGGTGGAGCTCCATTGTTGGTGCTCGGAGGATAGAAGTAAGACAGGGAAACAAGCACCAACAGGGAATAACATCACAGAAACCCAAGGCAAACGAAACCAAGCCCTGTGCACAACATCACTCGGTATCTGCTGGCATGGGAAATCTGAAAAACCATGGGACGTGCAACTATGACCACCCTAGGAAATGCCATGCCCATATTACAACAGAAAAGGCAAACATCCCTTCCTGTAAGCTTTTCACCCAACTGCGTACCTCTTCATACAGGAAGACTGTGCTATAAATTAAATTGCCAGCATACCATCTTAAAGGGGACAAAAAATACAAACATCCAGGCCATGGGAAAACCCTGGTAGGCCACACCCACATCAAGAGGGAGAGGTTTTTTATAGTGCCAGAAGGAAAAAAAAACTGGCAGGAAATGGCAAAATCGTACACCAAATCCAGTCATTCCTGCGTGAAACCACAGTCGATGGCCTCCACACCAAACCAACAGATACAGATACCTAATGCCGGAAAAAAAATCCCTCCCCCATTACCAACAATACCACCAGTCCGATAACATTCTTCTTTGCAAATATACATGGGTCTAAAAGCCAGCCAACAAACAACAAAAACCTTTCACATCCGTGGACGAGCTTTCAGAGGCAAAGGCAATTTCGCGCTTTCACGGAGACCCACATAAAGGAATCACTGGACAACGAAATATGGAATCCCAGGTCACAACCTATACAGATGTGACAGAGTGAACAGGGCACAAAGGGGGGGTTGGCCTGTACATTGCAAGTCACTTGTTTGCGACAGAACGCTAAATGCCTCAAATGATTAGTGGAAGTTTTTTTAGCAGTAAAGGTCGAGAAACCAAAAACCGAGTCGATTGTGATATCTACAAAAGCCTCACGGATGCAACAACCCAGCATTTCCAGGAACAGCTGTTTTTTTTAAAAAATTGACCACTTTCTGGAAAATTTCTTCTCCCTAGCTCCAGCACCCTATATCTTGCTCCTGGGGAATTTCAAACTTAAGGCACCTAAAAGGAGGAATATACAAATAATATTGTTGCAGTAATAACACCAGGAGGCAGCTCTGATGAAAACCCCACTCACCGAGCTTTTAAATCTCTGCACAAAATTTCACAATTAAAAACAGCAAATAATAAGAGCAACTAGACTTGAGAAATACACTATACCTCATCTTCACAACAATGATGATCTGTAAGAAATATCGCCATAAGCAAAAACAATATACTCAGATCCCGACATAATTGAGTTCAGTCATGTATGGCGCCGGAGCCCCAGACCGCATAAGGAGAATATCTCGAGGGAGCCTTCACCAAATTCAACTTCAATAACAAAAACATAAAGTGGACCAAGTAAACCAAGTCCTAACCGATAAAAAAATTACGCTGGGAAGATATACTAAGCCAACAACACAGACCCCAAGCTTATGCCTAGACAGGATTAACTCGTAGCACTCGATGTATGCACAAGGCTTATTCCTCTACGAAAAGGAAGGAAGTAGATGTAAAACAGAAAGAGACAGGCGCTCCCCCTTTACAGCGAACGGAAAAGAAAACAGAGCGGCTAAAAGATCAATATATCTAAATGCGTAGGGGACACTGTCAGAGAATAGCAAGCATCGAACTTAAGCTAAAAGAACCTTTAGATCTGATATCGCGTGAAGAACAAAAAGCCATAAATGAAATCGAAAGAAACCCAAAGTATTTCTTCTCCTATGCCAAAAACAAAATCGAGACAACGTCCAGTATTGGGCCCCTACTTATACAAGAAGGGGGTCCTACACAGATGACAACAGGAATGAGTGAGCTACACAAGTCCCAATATGTACATTTTTAGCAAGCGCTAACCAGGACTGCGAGAGACGAAGATCAAAATGAATTTTTTATAAGAGAGCCACATAATTTGATTAACCCAAAGCCTATCCGATGTTACCTGACGCCAAATGACTTCGAACAGCGATAAATGACATGCCCAATTGGCCCCCATACTCTGCTCTCCCCAGGCCAGACTCATTTGAACTCCTGGTTCATCAAGAACTGCAAAAGCCCCTATTCACGAGCCTTTCCATCCTATGGAGAGGGAGCATGGACACGGGGGTGATCCCACATACTAAAAACAAAAGACATAGCCCCACTCCACAAAGGGGGCAGTAAAGCAACCAGCAAAGAACTACAGACCCAATAGCACTAACATCCCATATCATAAAAATCTTTGAAAGGGTCCTAAGAAACAAGATCACCACGCAACTAGAAACCCATCAGTATACACAACATCCAGGGCAAACATTGTTTAAGAACAGTCCGCTCCTGTCTGGTCTCACCTATTGGACCACGACGACAATTCCTAAATGCACGAGAAGACAAGAAAGAATGCAATGTAATATATACAGACTTTGACCAAGCCTTCGACAAGTGTTACCATTGGCGTAATAGCGCACAAAATGCGTGCAAAGAATAACAGAAAAGTCGTCGATGGATCATAATTTCCTCACTAACAGAACACAGAGAGTAAGTCCGTCAACAGAGTAAAGTCCGAGGCACTACGGTGAAACTACATGCTTCTGTTCCACAAGGCACATACTCGCTCCCATCTTGTTCCTCATCCTTATATCCGACATAGACAAGGATGTCAGCCAACACACCCCGTGTCGTCCGTGCAGATGACACCCAATCTGCATGACAGTTCTTCCATTGCAGACACTGCAAAGCTCAGGCAGACATCAACCAAATCTATTCAGTGGGCTGCCAGAAAACAATATGAAGTTCAACGATGAGAAATTTCATACTCAATATGGTAAACATGAGGGAAATTAAATCTTCATCAGAGTACAAAACTAATTCTTCTGGCCACACAATAAGCGAAACACCAACGCAAAGACCTGGGAGTGATCATGTCGAGGATCACACCTTCAAACCATAACATTGTATCAATCGCAATCTGCTAGAAAAATGACAGATGGAAATGAGAACCTTCAAACTAGAGGCCAAGCCCATATGAAACTCTCAGGTCACTTTTCTATCTAGCTGGAATATTGCTGCACACTAAACAGCACCTTTTCCAAGGCAGGTGAAATGGCCGACCACGAAATAGGACAGAGAACTTTACACGCGCGGATAACGAGATAAAACACCTCACAACTTGGGAGCGCTTGAGTTCCAAAACCATATTCTCCCTGGAACGCAAGGAGAGGAGAGATACATAGTATATACACTCTGGAAAATCCTAGAGGGACTATTATCCCGAACATGCACACGAAAATCACCCACTACGAAAAGCAAAAGACTTGGCAGACGATGCACCATCTCCCCCCAATGAAAAGCAGGGTTCACTAGCACTTTAAAGAGACCATAACAATAAGTGTCAGGGGCCCATACTGTTTCAACTGCTCCCCAGCACTCATAAGGGGGATTACCCACAGACCCCTGCAGTCTTCAAGCAGGCCACTGGACAACACCTAATAAGTCAGTTCCGGATCAGCCGGGCTGATGGCTCGATGTTTGGTTTGCCGTGCAGCCGCCAGCAGCAACAGCCAGTTGATCAGGCTCATGATCCACCAGGTGGCCTGGTCGCAGACCGGCCGCGGGGGCGTTGAACCCCGGATCTCTCTCCAGAAACTCCAGTAAACTCTCCTGCAGCCAACATCGTGCTCCTGGGGGATTTAACTTAAGGCACCTAAAAGGGACGGAATATAGCAAATAATATTGTTGCAGTAATAACACCTAGGGGCAGCTCTGACGAAAACTCACACACACACAGCTTTTAAATCTCTGCACCAAAATTTCAATTTAAACCCAAATAAAAGAGCCTACTAGACTGAGAATACACTAGAAACTCAATCACTAACAATGATGATCTGATAAGAAATGTCACCAAACAAAAAACAATATACACAGATCACAACAAATTGAGGTTCAGACATGTAGCAGGAGCCCCATACCGACAAAAGAGACTAGTCACGCAGGAGCACTCACCAATTCAACTTCATAACAAAAACATAAAGTGGGACACAAGTCAACCAAGTGCTAGCCGAATATAAGCTGGCAGATATACTACGCAACTCAGACCCAAACTTATGCCTAGAACGAGTTAAACTCGGTGCCTCGATGTATGCACAAGGCTTATTCCTCTAAGAAAAAGGAGGAGAGATGTAAACTAGATAAAGGAAACAGGCGCCTCCCTTTACAGCGACGGAAAGAATAACAGAGCGGGCTAAAGAGGTCACTATATCTGAAATGCGCAGGGAGACACTGGTCAGAGAAATAGCAAAAGCATCGAACTTAAGCTAAAAGAATCCTTTAGGAGACAGAATCGCGGAAGAACTAAAAGCTATAAATGAAATCGAAAGAAACCCAAAGTATTTTCTTCTCCTATGCCAATCAAAAATCGAGAACACGCCCAGTATTGGGCCCCTACTTAAACAAATGGTCCTACACAGATGACAGCAAGAAAATTGATGGAGCTTCTCAAGTCCCAATATACTCATTTTTTAGCAAGTCCGCTAACCATACTGAGAGTCGAAAGATTCAAAATGAATTTTTTAAGAGAGCCACCAAATTTTGATTAACACAAGCCTATCCGAAGTTATCCCTGACGCAAATGACTTCGAACAGGCGATAAATGACATGCCCATGCACTCTGCCCCAGGGCCAGAACTCATGGAACTCTGTGTTCCATCAAGAACTGCAAGAAGCACCTAACATCACAGCCTATCCCATCCTATGGAGAGGAGCATGGAACCACGGGTCGTCCCTCAGTTACTAAAAACAACAGACATAGCCCCACTCCACAAAGGGGCAGAGTAAGCACCAGCAAAGAACTACAGACCAATAGCACTAAACACCATATCATAAACAAATCTTTGAAAGTCCTAAGAACAAGATCACCACCCATCAGAAACCCATCAGTTAAACAACCCATGGCAACATGGGTTTAAACAGTCGCTCCTGTCAGTCTCAACACCTGGATCACTACGACAAGTCCTAATGCACTTAGAAGACAAAAATATGCCAGATGTTATATATACAAGACTGTGTACAAAAGCCTTCGACAATGTGACCATGGCGTACGAGCGCACAAAATGCGCGCTAAGAATAACAGGAAAAGTCTGTCGATGGATCTATAATGTCCATCACTAACAATCACAAGAGTAGTCCGTCATACAGGAGTAAAGTCCGAGGCAGCTACGGTGAAAAGCTCTGTTCCACAAGCACCGTACTAGCTCCCATCTGTTCCTCATCCTCATGATCCACATAGACCAGATGTCAGCCACAGCACCGTGTCTTCCTTTTGCAGAAGAAACACCCGAATCTTGCATGGACTATGTCTTCCTTTGCAGACACTGCAAGGCTTCAAGGCGACCATCAACCAATCTTTCAGTGGCTGCAGAAAAACAATATGAAGTTCAACGAGAGAAATTTTCAATTACTCAGATATGTAAACATGAGGAAATAAATCTTCAGCAGATACAAAACAATGCTGGCCACAAAAAAGAGCGTAACACCAACGCCAAAGACCTGGGAGTGATTATGTCGGAGGATCTCACCTTCAAGACATAACATTGTATCAATCGCATCTGCGAGAAAAATACAGGATGGTTAATGAGGAACCTCAAACTAGGGAGCCAACCCATGATGACACTCCTTCAGTCAATTGTTTCTATCATGGCTGAATATTGCTGCACTCTAACAGCACCATTTCAAGGCAGGTGAAATTGCCGACCTAGAAAAGTAAGAGAACATCTCACGGCGCGCATAACGGAGATAAAACACCTCAATTAACATGGGAGCGCTTGAGTTTCTAAACCAGTATTCCCTGGACGCAGAGGGAAATACATGATTATATACACCTGGAAAAATCCTAGAGGGATAGTACCGAACTTGCACACGAAAATCACCGCTACGAAAGCAAAAAGACTTTGGCAGACGATGCACCCATTCCATCCCCCCAAATGAAAAGCAGGGGTGTCACTAGACACGTTAAGAGACCATCAATAAGTGTCAGGGCCCGAGACTGGTCAACTGCCTCCCAGCACACAATAAGGGGATTACCAACAGACCCCTGCAGTCTTCAAGCTGGCACTGGACAAGCACCTAAAGTCAAGTCCTGATCACCGGGCAGTGGCTTCGTACGTTGGTTTCGTGCAGCCAGCAGCAACAGCCTGGTTGATCGGGAGCAATCCACCAGGAGGCCTGCACAGACCGGCCGCGGGGCATTGACCCCCGAAACTCTCCGTCCAGGTTTTGTGTTTTTTTTTTTTTTTGCCAGATGATATTCGTAGTAATTGAAATTTCTCATCAATCAAACGTCATATGTTTTCCTGCGGCCCGTTTAAAGAATTTGTTGTGTCTGCAGTCTTCAATGGAGGACACACGTGGAAATTCGGGGCCATCTGCAAGGAAGACACGGTGCTGAGGCTTACATCCTCTGTCTATGTCAGATATAGGATAAGGAACAGGATGGGAGCGATTGCTGTACCTTGTGGAACATAATTTTCACAGTACCACCTGAGACTTTACTCTGTTTACAACTACTCTGTTTCTTTTGTTAGAAATTATATAGACTGCCTACAAGAAATCCCTCCAAATGCCAATTATGTGACAGTGGTCAGACCATTTATTCTTAAAACAAAATACTTAGACTATACAACAAACATTGTTTTTATAAAAATGAAACAAGATTCACATATACGGCCTTGGTTGCCCTGGCTAACCAGCAGCATTCTTGTAATCCATTGCGATAAGAAAAACAACCATATGAAAAGCAATATAGACAGGGCTTAATAATCTTAAACAAATTCAAACAGTTCTCACAAATTAAAAAGAAAGCCAAACAACTGTACTACTCCAGCAGATTCACTGACACAAGAGAGATATAAAAAAAGACCCTGAAAACAACTTTCCCGATTTCTGGACCCACCAACGAAAAAAACAAAATATTGTTCTAACTAAACCTTCATGAAACACCACTGCATCCCACTGATACAGCTAACAAGATAAACGACTTCTTCACAAACATAGGATCTAATCTCGCCAGTAAAATCCCCATGTACCAACACACCCGTACCGGGGACTACCGAAGGAAGTTCCCAAATTCCTTCTATCCTTTACCCAACTGAGCCCTCGGAGGCACCACGCGCGATCATAAATCACTTAAAAACTATCTCTGGGGAATCTGTCTCATTCCAACCATTATTGTACTAGCGAGCGGGCCCATGTCCTTTCCGCATGCTATTACAATTACTTTTAAACAAGTCACAGAAACTACACTTTCCCGACACTACTTTACTCAAGAAAGCAAGGGTTACACCAATACATAAAGGTGGTGACCACAGAACACACAACTATAGGCCAATATCAAAACTTACATTGCTAGCAAAATCTTCGAGAAACTCGTGCACAGGGACAATATTCATGTCTAAAGTCACAAAACATACTCAACCCCTGCCAATCTGATTCAGAAAAATAAAAGCACAAATGATGCAATTATAAAAATGCTAGACCTCTTTACATAGCATTGGAAAAATAAGGAAATCCGCCTAGGAATTTTTATTGACCTAAGAAAAGCATTTGACAAAGTAGACCATGGGGTGGGGGGGGGGGGCATCCTACTCCACAACTGCCCACTAGGTATAAGAGGCCATGGCGCTTTGCATATTTTAAAAATCCTACCTTGTCTAAAAGGTATCAGATGTCACCATTAAAGGACACACCTCAACAATATAGCTACTTATAGCTGAGTTCTGCAGAAAGTGTCCCTTGGACCCTTGCTCTCCCTCATTTACATCATGATTCTTCCAAACAGAACCCAAAACCTGAAACCCATTTCGCTTTGCTGACGACACGAACTTATGTCATCTCCACCCTAATCTGGCCACCCTCAACAACATTGTTAACGAGTGAGCTGGCTCAAAATAGATCGACTTGGATGACAGCCAATAAACTTACACTTAACACTGGCAAAACCTACTACTACTCTCGACAACACTCTAATTGCCAGACATAATGAGGGCAAATCCTTGGCCTAACCTCGACAACACCTAAATTTCAGCACCCTTATCCAACACATAACAAAAAAGTATCCAAAACAGTGGGGATCCGCGCCCAAGATTACATACTAGTACTGCAAACTGCCCTTCTCACACTATAGCCATTCACTTAAATATCCATACCTACCTCACCTATGTCTTGGGTTCACCTGCAGCAACACACCAAGCCAATAAAACCCAACAAAAAGCCGTGCAGTAAGAATATTCACTAAATCCCATCCCTGGCAACACCCCCCACTCTTCATAGATCTAAACTTACTCCCTGTTCAGAACATCCACACTTACATTACTGTGGCACTGTATATCTATAGGACCTTAAAACCAAAATTAAACCTAGACCTAAAACACTTTCTTGGATATTGTGAGGATCCACAGGCACACATCAGACACAAAACATCTCTATAACTTTATCCTCTGTGTTCGACTAACCTTACAAAAATTCAATGTATTTCAAAGACCTAAAATCTGGAACTCCCTACCTGAAAAATCTAGAACTGCAACACATTCATCACTTTCAAAAGTAGAAAACATCTTATCTCCTGAACCACCCCGACAACTAACTACTTGATAACCCCCCTCAAGAAGTTCCTTATGTTGGTGAGGCTCTTGATTTAGGCATTGGATCTGTGCTCCTGGTCCCCGAATTAAAGCCTGAATGCCTTCCACATCCCCCCCCGGCGCTGTCTAATCCTCGCGGGTTCACGCTTTCCCCTTGATATAATAATAATATATACATGATAACCACTGTGAGTTCAAAATTACACTCAACTCACCCAATGACTATAAACCCAGAAATACTAATCTATTAATCTTAAAATAATAAATCCTAACTAGTCATAAGTTTGGCCTATGTTACTCAGAATATATACCCCTGTATTGTGCCAAAACAAAAGCCTTTCCACATTGTCAAAACTCAAAATTATGATGTATCTACTTAGCCTTAATACTCTAATCTGTGGTGGAAATTTATTTCAGTCCATAAAGTACCACAGACATATACGGCATACAAAGACCCGCATGGCCGTTAGGAACGGACTGTTTTTTGTTTGTGAAAAAAAAAAACTGCTGGGTGGGCAACTACACGCCCAACCCCAATCTCAAACATTCTTCTGCCGGATTTGTCGAATGAGGATGAAGTACTACTTAATTTATAGATTTTACCCTTCAAGGAAGAATAATTGTATTTTACTGTTAGTACATTATTAGAATTATTAAGGCAAACTGTAGATAATAAGTGTTAGTTACCCTGGAGTTTACCTGAAGAGTTTCGGGGTCAACGCCCCCCGGCCCGTCTGTGACCAGGCCTCCTGGTGTATCAGCGCCTGAACCACCAGGCTGTTTCTCTGGCTGCAACGCAAACCAACGAACAGCCACAGCCCGGCTGATCAGAAATGCCTTAGGTGCTTTCCAGTGCCAGCTTGAAGACTGCCAGGTCCTGTTGGGATCCCCCTTTTTTTTTATGTGTGCTGGGAGCAGTTGAACAGATCTCGGGCCCCTGACACCATATTGTATGGTCTCTTAACGTGCTAGTGACAAAACCCCTGCTTTTGATTGGGGGGGATGGGCAATCGTCTACTGCCAAGCTTTTGCATTCGTAGGAGTGAGTTTCATGTGCAAGTTCAGGTACTAGTCCCTCTAGGATTTTCAGGTGTTATAATCATGTATCTCTCCCTCCTGCTTCCAGGAAAACAGGATTAGAAACCTCAAGCGCTTCCAGTAATTGAGTGTTTTATCTCCGTTATGTGCATAACCGTGAAAGTTCTCTGTACATTTTCTCGGTCGGCAATTACACTGCCTTGAAAGGTGCTGTTAGAGGTGCAGCAATAAGCCAGCCGAATAGATCAAGACCTGAAGAGTGTCATCATGGGGCATTGGCCTCCCTAGTTTTGAAGGTTCTCATTATCCATCCGGTCATTTTCTTAGCAGATGCGATTGATACAATGTTTATGGTCCTTGAAGGTGAGATTCCTCCGACATAATCCACCCAGGTCTGTGACGTTGGGGTTTCGCTCTATTTTGTGGCCCGAATTTGGTTTGGGTACTCTATGAAGAATTTAATTTCCTCATGTTCACCATATCTGGAGTAATTGAAATTTCTCAACGTAGAACTTCATATTGTTTTCCTGCAGCCCACTAAAGATTTGGTTATGTCCGCCTGGACCTTGCAATGTCTGCAATGGAAGACACTGTCATGCAGATCGGGTGTCATCTGCAAAGGAAACCACGGTGCTGTGAGCTGACATCCTGTCTATTCGGATATAGGATGCGACCAAGATGGGAGCTAGTAATGTGCCTTGTGGACAGAGCATTCACCGTAGCTGCCTCGGACTTTACTCTGATGACGACACTTCTCTGTGTTCTGTTAGTGAGGAAATATAGATCCGATCGACCAACTTTCCTGTTATTTCCTTTTAGTGCACATTTTTGTGCGCTATTATGCCATGGTCCACCTGCGAAGGCTTTTGCAAAGTCTGTATATATTACATCTGCATTCTTTTTGTCTTCTAGTGCATTTAGGACCTTAACATAGGTAGTAATAGGCCGATAATGTAGGCAAACACTAGGTTAAGTTAGCTAGGGAGAACTGGCAGCCCTAGTTTGAATGACGAGGCGCGGGTCTGGAAGAGACCAGCTCGTTCTTCTTTAGACAGACACCAACTGCACGACACGTGCCGTGATCAGCAGACGGCGCCCTCCACGTGTCTTCACATTTGAGACCTGGGGAAATCTGGTAGAGGCACCTCGATGTACCGTAGATGACCTCCTCCGTCAGGCCCATACAGTAAGACAAGACCTCCACTTTATCTTAGATTTCTGGCCAGTGTCTGGGGAAAATTGTGAGTGAGTTGAACTGTGGGCCTTTGTGCAGCTGGCAGTGCATGCCCAGTACGTACCAGTGTCCTTTGTCAGTCTAGAAGCTAGTGTCCGTGTCTGCATAGTTATACTAGGGGATACACACCCCCTTGGATATAGGAATTTCTGAGGTGCAGGCAGGTCACTAATAACGATTGAATATTGCAGGAATTAAGGCTCCCGGTTGCACATGGTCTGAGGGAGGCTGAAGATCAGGATGTATGCTGCAACACCAAGTAAGTTAGTCCTTTATACATGCATGCAGGCGAGTTTCTTGCAACATCAATCATTTATGAAAATCTGTCCTATAAGCCACTTGTGAGGCTGAGGTACCAACTTCAGAGCTCGGTGTCAACAGAGCTTGCCAGGGTAGGCAACTCACTTGGAGGCAGTCCAGACAAATTTTCACAAAGTGATCCTTCTAAACCGTGATGTGGAATAGCTAGGTTAAAATTAACATAGCTAGGCCACAGTTAGGAACCAGTTTAACAGAGTTAGGTTAAGTTAGCACACCTAGGCCCAGAGTTACACAGAGGCTAGGCCAAGCTGACTATACACAAGTTATTATTTGCAATAATTTACAGGCAGGCCAGGTAGGCTAGAGAAGCTTGTGAATTTAATTATTTACAGTTATTACAAGTAATCCAGAGTAGGAGACTTGTGTGTTAATTACAGTGGATTTGCAAGGTAGCCATAGTTAGGCTAGGCTTGGACAATATTTACAACAGTTATACAGTAGTAGCTAGGACAGATTTAACCTAGTTATTATTTACAGGGAGTTCTAAAGCCATGTTAAATTAAGTTATAGCACACTAGTTAGGTTAGGATTTACCTTATCCAACCATCCACGCTAGACTGAGTAAGCTGGGCAGTTAGCCCAAGCTGTTTACATACATTATTCATTTACTGATTCACAAGTTGAATTGTTGAATTTATTTGTGCGGACCAAGTGATTTTAATTTGTATACTGCACTTTTTGTGTGATTTTCATTGTCTTTGATTCATTTTAATGTAATATTTGTGAATTGTACCTGAGACTAGGTTAAGACCTGTAATTATTTGCTGGCATTGTATAGGAAATTGCTAGGTTAAGCTTTCACACCGATACACATTTCGATTGGGATTTGAGAGCTGTGTACATTTTTGATTCCGAGTAGAGTCAGTATAATAAAGGGAGTTGTTAAGCTTGTTAAGAAGCCTTGAGACTCGTTCATTCTTGCCTAATATCGTTCGTGCTGTGGGGTGGGCTAATTGAAGTACAAATTAGTACCGTGATCTTAACTAAACCGCAACTATGGTAGGTGAAGATGTAGTACCAGTTGTCCCAGCTCTATGTCAATTAAAACGGTCTATGGGAGCCTATAAGGGACGCCTGAGCAAAGCATGTGAGGAGTGTCGTATGGCCAGGCAAGATCAGGATGTCGACTAGGAGGAACTAGAGAGTTGCCTGAAACCTTTGGAGCAAAGGCTGGAGGCCTTTGAGAGATCGTTTATCCTTTATGAGACAGAGGCCT